AGCTATCTAGTTTTAAATTTAAAATGATTTAAAATTTGTAGGAATTTCATAAATTCTTTTTATCTTTTTTGAAGGTGCAACAAAGGTCCTCCAAAAAGGTTCAAAGGTCCAGTACATTTCTAATTTGGACTCAGTAATAAACATTTTAAGCAAATGCCCTGTGTGATTATTCTACATTCTGAAATGCTCAATGGCAAAGAGCAACAATTAAAAGCAAGGTCATAAAAATAATATCTGATATGTCAGAATTCTCTACAAATAGATGCTGTGAATATTGCTTTTTGTTTGGAAACAAGTTCCAGGCTTTAACAGAAACATATATACCTTGCAAATGAACCCGTGAATATGTAGAAACATTTTTCTTTGATGTTTTCATTAATTTCAAACTTAGTTATTTGAAGAAAAGATGAAATATGACTACAAGCTTCAGAGAAGTTACATTTCGGATGAAATGGGCACCTTCAAAGAGATAAAATGGTAATTTATAAAATGCCTACAAATTTTAAATCATTCTAAATTTAAAGCTAGACAGCTTACCTAAAATTAAACTTTCCTAAGATTGTACCAATGTTGTGCTCGCTTCAGCAGCACAGATACTAAGATTGTACCAATGTAACTTAGATGATGATGGATACTTTTCAAGCCCTTTGCATAAAAATGGTACTAAACAGGGGAATGCCGTACCTGGCAATGCTTTAAATAATAAATTGCTAATTGTTAATTTTAATAAAAATAATTTGAGAACTCTGCCCCTGAAATGAATCTTACTATGTATTTCATGTGTTCTCCATCAAAATCTCTATGTTCCTAAGAATGAACCAGTCACCACTTAAAAGAAATAGAAGGAAAGACATGCCTACTTTCCACTCAAAGTGTAGGACCTTGTTTGACTTGTGACACAAAGGTTTATTTCCATGCATGGGAAGGTTAAAGGCAGACATAAACACAGTGATGAATATAAAGATAGTGGATGGTGTGTGGAACAACTACGCATAGCAACACTATCCACCTGCCATTCCCATCTGTGATATCATATGTTTACAGTCATCTGCAAGCTTTATGGTTAGTCCCACATTAAAGAAAAAGAAACAAGTTTAGAAAAGTGAAGTGACTTGAGTTATGGCAAAGAGCATAGGCTGGGTTGTGATTAGAACCCACAAATCCAGCCTCAAAGTCAAGACCCTGGATTCTCTCATGTTGCTTTCTCAGTCGGACTGAGGAACAGAGGGAGAGACTGCTATGTCCCTGATGTCCATTTACCTGTAAGAGGTTCATATGTGACACCAGGAAAAAACCTTGGAGGTGTCTCTAAATTAAAAAAAAATAAAACAACTAAGGAGATACAACTTAATATATGCATTTTCTTGAGATTTACTTAAAATATTATGTTTTAGATTCCTTGAACACTACATAAACTAGGGCCCAAATGTATAGGTAATATAGTTTGGAGAGAAACAAGCAGAGTTAAGACATTCTACTCAAATAACAACTTATTTTTCTGTATTTTAAACAATAAGAAAAAATTTTAGGTATTTGTCTCCACTCAACAAGTGGAACTTATTTACAAATATAGCTAACAGCAATTGCTTCATTACTCAAGTCAAATCATAAAAAGTAACTGTCCACCAAAAATTTAAAAATTCTCTATATAGACTATATGTACCAAGTGTTACATCTAAATATTAACTATAAAAAATTAAAATTTACTTCCAGATAAATGATGAAATTGATTAAATCCAAGTTGGTAACAAGTTTTTCCATGCATTTAATAACAACATAAGCAGAATGCTTTGTTGATAAATGACCATCAGACCTATTCTTCATACATCAAAAGGTGACTGATATACTCAAAACCTGCAAAGTCCTACCCACTGGTCTTCCTCACAACACTGTCATCTGGAGTGAGCAGGACAGGTTCATTAGTAAACTGAGTATCGAATTTACCTAAATCAAAGTGTCCAGAAATATTTGGTTCAAAGGGAGGCACCACCTGCTTTTGCTCCAGTCAACATTGAAAAAATGTATAGTCCTAAGTATCCCCAAAGCCTGTTCAAGGATGACAACCCAGTTGTTCCTGCAGGTCCTTCAGAGAACTCTCCAGGACCCTTGTAGTTTGGAGAGACAGACAGGATGGTACTTGAACTTTTCCTTCCAAAATATCCTGAAAGAAATTACTGTTTGTGTTGTGATCAGGGTTATCAGGGCTTTCCACAAGAAGAAATGGAGACTTTCCAAACATTGTCTCATATATTTATACTCCAAGAGTCTACCAGTGCACAGCAAGACCATGATCTTCTCCTCTTAGAATTTCTGGAGCAAGGTACTTAGGAGTGCCACAGCAAGTGCTGGTCTTATCTCCTGGCTGGAGTTTTTCCTTACACAGGCAATAATCACTGAGTTTAATGTGCATTTCTGAGTCCAGTAATAAATTCTTCAGTTTCAAATTTCTGTATTCTTTGCTCATGAAGAAAACTGAATGCTACTCTGATTTCTACAGAGTAAAGCCTGGTACATTCTTCAAGAATGTTCTTTGTTGGTGCATATGGAACATTAGATCTTTTTCATTTATGTAGTCTAGAACATGAAACAGTCTGTTTTCTTTCTAAAAGCAAGAATCCAACCCAACAAGGAAACGATGAATCTATTCCTACTCCAAAACATGCTTCTCTGTCTGTACCAAATCAAGGTTGGCGCGCTCTTTCTTCATCACTCATTGCATAGATATGATTTGTTTTTTAAAACTGAAGTAGTACTTTGGTATAACTTCCTCACTCTATTACTTAAAGCAAATCAAAGTTCTCAAGACTTAAACTGTTGTTTACTGCTTTATTTTCCTGTTGCTCCCTGCTTTATTTTCTTCATCCACTTCTTCCAAACCCTTGTAACTTTTAGGATTATCATCTGTGCAGGGTCTGAAGCCATGGATGATGGATCCATTGGCATCATGGATGCTGGTGGCAAACATTGTTGTGTGCATTCAGCTATGACAAGTATGTGGTACTTCTTATGAATCAAAAGTTTACAGCTAAGACACTTGTATACTTGGCATCCAAGTCCCCCTATATGAGCTGAGCAAACAGCACAATAAGCACACTTGGTGATACATTTTGCTAGAAAAGTGTGGCCATTTGAACAATAAAGTTTTCTCCAGCTGAGTGCAACTTTATGATAGACAGATTTATGTAGTCCCAGAGAAGGCATTTGAGGATGTTCTGGTACACAAATGAGTTTAGAATGTTCTCATACACAAGGCACTTCAAGATGTTCTAGTACACAAGGCATTTTAGAATGTTCTGGTACACAAGGTGATGCATGAGTTCACAGTTCAGAATCTGTGTTAAGCTAAGGAAGCTTCAAGCCATCTGCTAAATGCAACTTAGGCGACATGTACATGGGTCTCCTTCCTCATCCACATAGTTTGTAGTGAAAGCTGTTTACTATCAAATAACCATGTGTCTTGAACTTCACTACCCTCAGAAGAGAAACAAGTCTCAAAACATAAGACTCCTCCTATCACCTCCCATCATTAAAGCAATATGTGTGGACTGCTGCTTCTCACAGTGATAGGAGGTTTTTCCATATAAAGAAGACATTTTCTTTGAAATGCAGTGCTGGAGATTTAATCCTAGAGAGCCATAAAATTTTAGGGTGCTTTTCTTTCTTATCATTTCTATTTAATTAGGTATATGGAGACTTTATCAAAATTTCTATGACAGTTTTCCTTATGAGATAAAAATGATTGTTTCAAAGTGTAAGTTCTAGGGAGAGGTCATAGTGGCTGCATAGCAGATTGTAGCTTTGAGGTGTGCACACATAATTAATTACTCATTGTTAGCTACTGAACTTACCACCAAAGTGTAATACTCACTATAGTAACATACTGTGTCCCTACAAATAATACAAAACTAGAATGAGCTAACTGGAATCAGCCCTTGCTGATCATTGCATGGAGTTGGCCAGAGTCATGCAGCTCATACCTCAGTAGTCTCTTGCTCCATGGCTACTCTGTAATGGCAAGTAAAGCAGGGTTAGGCAGATTGGGGTTGCCAATTTTTTTCTGGTTAGGCCTTATTTTCTGGAAAACATAGAGTGTGGCAGGACAGTACATGGCAACTGCATGGCAGGTAATCTTTGTAAAGCCTGAAAACCATCACTCCAGTTGGGAGGATGAACACATACATATAGCATTTCAAACTTTCCTTATGGCCAACTGAAATCACTTGCTGTCCTCCTATCCCAACCAGTCCATGTATTATGTCTCTCAAGAGGGTATTTTGCATCTTGTAGATATGAGGAAGCTATAACTATTCAGGAAGTAGTTATTTTATTTTATTTTATTCTTTTTTTGTGGTGGTAACAGGAATCAAACTCAGGACCTTGTGATTGTCAGGCAAGCAGTTATTCCACTGAGCTATTTCCCCAGCCCTGTCAGGAAGTAGTTTTGTTTTTTTTTTTAAGAGCTTACTCAATTAGTATAACCACACTTATGTGAGAAAACTGATTCAGAGCAACTCCTCACTCTCCCAACATGCCAGAGTATACCATGCAGGAGGAGCAGCACCTCCCCAAGATGAGAAAGGCATTCTGGGTAGAGCACTGGTGAACTGCCTCAAAAGGGTCACACGTGGGCAACAAGACCACAAGTTTTCTGTCAGTGATACACTGGGCTTGAAAGCACAGCTGCCTATAGATTCAGAGATTTTAACAACAGTGTTAATAAATGTCTAATAACCAACATATATATGTATGTATGCATTTGTATTACATGTATACACATAAGTGTATTACAAATTTTGCATATGTAAAGGGCATGTTACACACAATTTACAAAGAATAATAATATTCACAGGCTCTTTACAATGAAGTTTCACAGATACTCTTGTATCAACAGTCGACCTGTTTGCAACTGACAAACTCATATAGTTACAAAACAAACACTGGGTCCCTCACATTAAATAGTGAGAGAAAAGTGCAAATATCTGAAGACTTATGTCAGCCTATTACTTGCTTATCAACAATGTGAGTGACTTTTTTGCTGAATCTAATGATGATTTTTGGATAGGAGAAGAACATTTTCATTTTGTGTGTAATATACAATGTAACAGTGACAGGCAAGCACATTTTTAAATTAAGCACATTTTAAACATTATTTTTCCTAATTTTCCTTCAGACTGTAGTCAATCAATGAAACAATAAGTTAAGCCCCAGTGTGCAGTATTAAAACAAGTACCATAGAAATCATTCTGGTATAAAACTTCTACCAGTCCTGGGACTGTAGCTCGGTAGTGTAGCACTTGCCTCACTCATGTGTGGCTTTGGGTTCCACTGTCAGCGCCACAAGCAAACAGACATACAACCTTTTTCCCATGTTTTTTTAAAACTACCAGTGTGAAATTACCAAATGGAAAATGAAAAGAGATGACCGGTAGTACATTTTACAGCCCTTATACAATAGAGGAATAAAATAGAACAATCTCAAGAACACAAGATAATAATAAAACAGTAAAATAATCAGAAAGGAGTTTGGGAGATTTTTATTATCTTTATGTTTAATATAGCATACTTCATTATAAATGTAGAAGATTTACCTTTAAGTAATGCTACGTTTAACAACTAGCTCACAAAATCCCTGAAAATTTAATAGCTGGCTGTCTATTAGCTGGTCTGAGCCAGGCTCCTACATACCACAGGCTCCAAGGAGGCTGCTTAATCTCTGAGCTTCAGCGCACCTCTCTGCGAAACTGGCTAATAAGGTTTCTGGCCAAGGGCTGGCCACGTAGTAAGTAAATGGCGGCAGTAAGTATGATTTCTACTGCATTATTATCTATAATAAACTGTATTATTGCTGCATTACTGTTTATAACAAATGCAAAATAGTTTCCCTGTTCTCAACATCAGTGATCACTGTGCTTTCATCCCTTTGCCCTCTGCACAGAGAATGTATGGACATTAAACAGACACTCAGCACACACACACACACACACACACACACACACACACACACACACATGCAAATATGCCTGACATGTTTGCAGTATGTACAGATGATCTGGGCCCGTCACCCTTGGGAGATGAGCAGAGCCACTGAAAATTACCAACGTTTCCTATGAAAATGGGCCACAAATGGATAGAAGACCAATTGTTGCAGCTATCTGGCAGCAGCTTCAGTGTTCGACAAATACAGCAGAGCATGCTCCTACCCTGCCAGCCCCTTCTCCTGTACCCTTCCACCACCAGCAGCAGATCCCTGGGCCTCACCTGCTCAGCCTTCTGATGGAAAACAGCAGACATGGCCAGAATGGTGCTGCGTTCATCCAGGGCAGCTGCAAAGCTTTTCCACTCCTGGTCTAGCTGCGTGGAGATCTGCTTGATTTGCTGGGAGGCATAATGGCCAGCCTCAGACAGGCGGGAGGCCACGGACATGATGCGGTTGATGTTGACATAAGCATTCTGGAAGAGGCAAAGAAGAGTGCATGCTTAGTAGGGCAGGCTTAAAAGACATCCATTGAGCACTTTTGGGGTAGGTGTTTATCTAGGGAAGTGGAGTACTTGAAAAAGAAAGTTTGAGAGAAGCTGGTATAGACCATATTGGTATACCTGATCCAGGCCTAAAAGAAATCTTCTATAACTTAAAATCCTGGCAAATAGCAGGGACAGTACCTGAGAGCTCTCCTTCTGAGAACCCAGTATAGATTTTGTACCCAGCTATTCTTATCCTATTAATGCAGTTCCTTTATATGGACTACCATATATAAACTTCACAGCCATCTTATAAGGTCACCCTGAGGAACAGCACAGTCCTTCCAAAGGCATGCATTAAAAGTCATGGGTCAGACAGTATAAGTGGAAAGAGGTAAAGACATCTCTCTTGGTCAGAACAGAGCTACACCCAGGGTATCACTCCCACAACATGCCAGCAGTACTCACCAAATAAGGCAAAGGAAACAGGACAATTCTGTATGTCCCTGTCACTGGCCAAAATGTCACTCTTATCCTCCCTTCTCCCTGTCTACTACCAAAAGAGCCAAGGCCCTGGCAACAGAGTTTACACAAAGAGAGCATTTGGACCCATGACATTTTGCTATGCTAAAAATAAGGTATATGGTGCCCTCATACTCCTTTTTGACTTAGGCACATTTTCTACCTGGTGCCAAAAGGTACCCCCCAAAAACTTTTGTCATGACTCTCTTGACTCATTCTCTTTTATTTTGTATTTTGTTTACATTCAATCCCATGATTTCCAGTTAAAAATTTATGAACATGTGTGTTATTTCCAAGTAGGCCAGCAAAAAAAAAAAACCTTCCAAAAATGAGAAGCAAAAGAAAACCCCTATAAATGTAATACAGTAGTGATCTGCATTATTTTTAACTGCTCCATCCTATTAATTGTCTGTGCTGCCAACACAATTAAGTTTATATTGAGGCATCCACAGACCACTTTTCTGAATCACATACTGTCTGCCCAAAAAAGGATCAGGGAGGTGAGTTATCACACACCTTCACTCTTTGTTACGGGTCTTCAAGTGACATTAAATACTCATCAGCACCACTACTTTCTCAAAGCTCAACTAGCTAAGGTGTAGTTCACTAATGGTAGGTAGTTTTAAGGAAGGATTTTTATTTTCCTGTGCCACATTCCTCACGGTCACTATCCATCTCAACTGTTCCTAACCTCCAAGAACTACACTGCAAACATGGGCCAGCTTGATAAGGTCATTCTTAATTTAAAAGGCCTCTATGGAAGTTTAAAAGGTTAAGTGAGGTACTTAACACAAATCCATCCTAATGCCTAGTGACCCCATGCACCATGTCTGTTTTTAGCTTGCTGTGAGACCCTCCTGACACAATATATTTCCCTAATACAGCCAGAATAATACTGACTGCTGTTATGTGAAATAACTACCCTTCAGAGATTAGGAATCATTATCAGTCCTATTTTCTAAGCTAGGACACAAAGTCTATTGGAAATTAAACTCTATTTATAGAACCAACAGAAAAACATTCATTTAGAAATAGAAGGGGGAAAGAAAAAAGCATGAACTGATTTTAATGGTTTTGCCTTTTAAGGGAATAACATTGAAATCCCCCCTCAATTTCCTGTTCTTGTTACTGTCATAATTTGGGTTCTCCCAAAAGCACATCATGGGGCAGAATTTGGGGCAGATAGTTTATTTGGGCATGTTCCAAAGAAGTACAGTGAGAGAGAAGAGAAGTGAGAGAAGAAGGGATGGAAATGAATAAAGGATGTTTTACTTAGTGGGTTAGTGATATGAATAGCTGGGATTCAATACCTCTGGAGATCTTTTGAGAAATTCTAAAAGAATGCCTCCAACCTGCCCCTATATAGGGTGAAGAATATATGCTATACATGCACTCATTGTTCACTGGTCGAAGTTCCCTCCTGGGGTAAGTCCCTGGCATTTCCAGCCTGACCCACCAAAGCATCCAAGGTCAAAGAAGGATCCTGACATAGAAATGCAGGAAAGAAGCTATCAGTCTGCATGGAAATTAACTTTATATGATCCCCAGAGATGGCACAGGGGATACAAATAGATACAGATAGTGCCTAATAGAAATGTCCTCTCAAACTGGGTTCAAATCCTAGAATCACTCCTCACATCATTTGTCCAGATCTATGTAGGGTATTAAGTTTTCCTGTATTGAGAGAGGCCTTATATATGGCTTGGGCCCGATGGGATGCAAGTAAACAATAAAAACAGGGTATTATCCTGTCCCCAGTGCATCCAGTGCATGCTAACCTTCTCTCCCCATAGCCCATTAATATTCTCTTCCTACCCAGGGAACACAGGGAGGTGAACTTTCCAGAGCTGTCCCACTGTGGCTGCTTCCAGAGATTGTTAACAGCTTGTCACTCATTCAAATATTTATGGAGAGTGGGCCAGGCTCTGTGCTGAGGCTGTGTGAGATCAAAGAGGAATGAGACAGGATTCCTGCCCACCCATCCTTTGCCCTCAGGGCCTCGCAGCTGCAACTTAAGACAAATCCTTAAATAACTGTAATTTAAATCAAATGCAGCAAAAGCTCCCATAGTGGTAGGAGCAAGTCACTGTGCAGATCAAGAGGGAAGGGGTCTGAGACACTAGCAGGGTCAGTGGGAAGGGGCTTCCTAAACCAGTCAGAGGGCATAGGGAGGCTGTAGTTCTCCAAGATTCCTTCAACCCCCAGGCCTCAAATCACAGATGAAAGCAAAAAACAAAAATGCCACACTTACACTAGACAGCCACAGTAAATACTTTCATGTTGCCTTATCAGTGGATAAGGAAATGTATTACTAAAATTAACAAACAATTATGTTTCACAAAAGAAGTAAAGATGGAACCTTTTACAACAGAGGCATGAATAAAATGTTGACTTATGCATTTGCTCACTGTTTTACCCTAGAGGTCCTTTTCAGAACACTGAAACAGACAAGCTACATTGCCCAAATTCAGCATCTTCTTCACCATTTCCTTTACTGTGAACCAGAAAGAAATGGGCAGACAGATTTTAAACTGCAGTTGTCCCTGAATAGCTACAAACCAAATAACAAGGGTAGAATGGCCAAGAAGGTCCCCAAAGACTTAAAAAGGAAAGAGCAAGGTTAAAGAGCTGGACTAGGAGTATGAATAAACAGGGATGCTTAGTCATTTGGCACAGATGACATTTCACAGCCTTGGTCAATCCATCACGTGGTTCTTCTATGTGACTGTTTATGCCTCTGTGAAGGAACACTTGGGAATTATGTTTGTCATTGGGCCATGGCCAGCAGGAATGGATATTTTAGCTCATTTTTGGTCTTTTTATCTCCTACCAGCTTCCCCCTTCAACCTCTCCCACCTGCCTACTTCTCTCAGTCTTCCCTTCCAGCCTCAGATGCCTATCTATCTACAGAGCTTCCCATCAGCTCAGGGCATCATCACTGGACCAGGAACTAAGAGCTCTGGGATTCTGACTCCTCTGTGTCTCAGTTTCCTTAACTATAAAATGAGGATGTTGAACGAACTGATCTCAGACTTTGTATTTCTGAGTAAGTAGTTCCCAGGAGGTGAGGAGAGTAAGTCCTCCCCATTCCAGAGGTGCTCACAACCAGCCTCACTGCCCTTCTGCCTCAGCTTCTCATCCTGGCTCTGCTCAGTGCTTTGTAGTCTGAGTACTAAGGTCAGTGTTGGACACACTCAGACTCTCCATCACCAAGGGCCATGTGCCCTTCTCTCCCCTTCAGCCTATTCCCCAAGCTGCCCATACCAAGCAGCTTCCCAGACAAAAGAAAAAAACTTGGCTAATAACTGGCTTAAAAAGCATATTCTTAAATCCTTACACAAAAAGTCCTTTATTAAATTTAATTTCCGCAGAATATTCAGTACTGTAATCATTACTATTATTCTGAGTGCAGCAGTCTACACTGTCCCTATGAGCTTCCACACAGAATGCAGTGCACCTGCAGCAGTTTGCAGCAGCATCCTACTTCCCCTCAATGCCTCTTTCACATCATTTTCATCACAACTACATCCCAGAAAAGTTTGCTAATTCAAAACTCCTCTATACTGTCACTTTGTTCACACTTTTGCTACCTATGAAGAAAAGTCTTTGTTTTCTCATTTCATTCCTGAAGTCACTGATTGGAGGAGGAGGACAGAGGATCCTGCAGGATGGAGGCCCTTCTCCTAGTGCCCTATCTCCTATTGTGATCAAGTGAAATTGATGGATCAGAGCAATTACCCTGAAAGATTGACTTGTGGATGATAGACTTCAGCTGGGTCAAAATGGCTCCCATTTTGAACTTGGTTCCTGGTTTACTCCAACTGGTACAAAAATATGCAGTGTCACTTGCAAGACAATTTTCCACTAAGAAACACGCCCAAATTTTCATTGTAAATGAGATTTCTTCTGCAGAATATTCTGGAAAAAGTTGGTTCTTCTAGAAGTAATCGTTTAATGTAAGTTATGATTTTGCTAACCTTTAAGATTTGTGAGAGGCAAGCTTTCACAGAGAGCACATTGGCCAAGAAATGGCCGTGACTCATCCACATGGCTGCACTGATAAAGGTTCTACAATCTGAGGCACAGGATCTCAGGATAAATCCTGAGGGCATTTCACTGACCTTCTCAGACCCAAAAGCTACAACTCTTGTTGCATAGGTCCTGCTTTACCTTGGTCTTAACCATCCAGTAGAAAAGTATGAAGACGAAATATAGGAAATAAAGCCATGCTGTTAAGTTGAGCTGTGGGGGACTCCGGTCAATAATTTCTGACATTGCCAGTTAAACAGAAGACCCAATGCTATTATGGGCTACTGGACTCTTTTAGAATATTTTGCTGAGTTTACACACCTATAATATTCAATAACGGAACTTAGAAAAAATGGGGTATGCCTATGAATGTCCATTATGTATCTGTGTATTCAAAGTGGTTGGGATAGATATATAGTTGCATTCTCTTAATGAATAGA